AGGAATGAACGAATTAGTGTTATGAACAACAACATTAATGTTGCTGTTTAAATAACATCGAATCAATAATTATAATAATACCAGTGGATTATAGTTCAATAGCATCAACATAACAATACACGCTGAATGTCAGTTGAATTAGGAAAGATAATATTACAAGTTCATGAATTTACAGTCTCTACTGAAGGCTGACCAGGGCAGTAGTAGGGGCTGGACTTACTTTTTTTGAACACAGAGCACTAGTTGTTTGAGGTGAATTGCAATAGCCTCTGGTGTTTGGAGCATGCGGTGCTTCGATGATGATTTTGGCAATTTATGTGGCACCCGGTAGATGATTGTAGAGAAGGATTCTTCCACGCTGGCTGGCTGGTTGGCTTTGTGGCCGGCCTGCCGGTTCATACCAGATGGTCCAATATCGAACTGTTTGTTAATGGTTTTCACTACACCTTTACTTGGCCATAGTGGGAGATGTTCCCGAGCACGAAAAATCAAGTTCCTAGAGCAACGGCCAATATAACTCGCTCCACAAGCGCAGATGAATTGATAAATACAATTTGAAGTGGTTAGTCTAGGTACTTCATCTTTCAGTCGAGGTAGCACCATCAGTCGTGTAGAGAATAAGATGTGTAGTTCGCCAGCATTAAAAGTTCTTTGAACTGATTTTCTTAATTTCTTCGTAATTATTTCACTTGGTGTATCTCCCTTGAATTGTAGTCGTATATAAAGTGGCTTCTTGTTTACAGATAGTGAGTAGTCCTTTTCCGCTTTCTTTGTCATGTGTTTCTTGATAAATTTTTCGGGATAGCTATTTTCGATCAAAGTATCATACACAATGCTTAATTCATCTTAAATTACTTCTTCTGAGCATATAGCTCTAACTCTGTGGCCGAGTGAGGGTCTTCACTAAATTTCTTTTGTACTTGATAGGAACGAAGCTGTGAAAATGTGTGTATATTGTCCTGTCCAAGTACTTTTTCTATGCAAATTTCTTTTTATGCTACCATCTGGTTTTCTTGTAAGGAGGACGGGTATCCACAAAGGCAATTCTGTCTTGGGATTGCTCTTCGTATGTGAATTTCATAGCCGCCGAATGTACTTCATTGAATTCAGTAATTATTGTACTCCTATCGGAACCATTATCACAAAGAATAAAGGTATCATCCGTATATCAGCAATAAAATGAGAACTTTCTGATAAGGTTGTTCAGAGGTCCATTTTCTAGCTTACTTAGAAAAAAATCAGCCGAAATGGAATCAATGGAGGGAGCCCATCGCCACCCAGTCCACTTGTCTGTGAAGTGTGCCGTCAAACTTGAAATTTACATTTATGGTACACCTTAATAACAGTTGTTTTAGGATTTCAGTACGGATGCCAATGTTTATTGACCGGTTATACACTTGTTCACATATTTAGTTAACTGTTTCTACTAGAAGTACATTTGTGAATAAAGATGTTATGTCCAGAGATATCATGGTTTTGTCCTTGATATTAATATCTGCGATTTTGTCTACGAATTCAAATACATCTTCGACGCTATATTTCACTATCTTCTCATGCAATGGTTTGAGAATATTTACTAACCATCTAGCTAGAGCATGGTAGGGCGAATTTTGCATATCAAATATTGGTTTTAACGGTACCCCCGGTTTATGCACTTTAGGTAGGCCATACAATCTTGGTGTATACGTGTCCGTTGGTCTGATTTCTTCATATAAACTTTCAGGAAATATCTGCTGCTCCCTTAGTTTCTTCAAACGTCTGGTTAATTAATTCATTCTCTATTTTGTTATTGAAATCTTTCTTCTCCTCAAGTTTTTTGAAACTTCTGTGTGTCCTTCAATATATCATTCATCTTTTTAATATAGTCACCACTTCTTTCGAGGAGGACAACTCCTGATCCTTTATCAGGCTCTTTCATCATTTATCAGTTGGTGTTGTCATTATCCTGTTGCGTCTGACATGCACGTCGTCATTAATATCATTATTATTATTATTATCGTCAGTATCGTGCGTTGGTGGCACAGCGGTAGAATGCTTGTCAACCATGCAGAGGTGGTCCGGGGTTCGATCCCCGGTCACCGACGCACTCCTTTAACTCGCTCGCTGAGCTAGTAATAATAAGACTGGTGAAGAGGGGGGTGGCGCTAGCAGCCCCATCATCCCGTAAAAATAAACACCACTGCTACCGAAACTTCAAGCCTCTAGCTTGAACGTGCCCTATGTTGTTTCACTTGGAACGTGGAGTAGTAATCAAGAAAAAAATTTGGAAAATTCTACCACCCCCACGACGACAACGACGAATAGTAGGAAAACAATAAAGAAAACTAAAAAAACGAAAGTTTCGAAGTTGTGCAATAATCATAATCGATAGTGTGATTATGAACAATAAATAAATAAATTATGTTGGAGACTTCGTCATCCAGTAAATAATAGTCATACTGTTTCACTCTGTGTGTGTGTGTGTGTGTGGTTTTATATCTAATAAACAAATCAATACGGAAATAGAAACCGCAATTCCAGTTAGTGGTATCATTGATCCAGTCACTTCTCTCTATCTACAGAGGTTCGTATAAGTCTTCGTATATTGATGATATAAATATGAAACTTCGGCACTGTGGTGGCTGGGTATAACTCCATTATGGATAAGATTTTATTTTGATAAACTGTCCCACAGTGCAGTGTTATACAGTAATATTAACTGATGCGACCACACGCTTCGAGCACAATTTATTATTCCCACTCATAATCATATCAAGTCACTCACTCACTCACACAACTTTTTTCCCTCATTTATATACATGAGTGGAATTGATGATTAGACATTTGAATACAAATCAGTAATATAATAAAATTTACATTCAGAAATAATAATAATAACAACATGAGTGTTATTGATCAAATACAATAACAAGATGGGAAGTAAGACGAGTGTTTTTATAGTCACAATAAGTTTTTTGACTGACTGACTGACTGGGGGTAATAATATCTACCATATTTCTGGTATTTGCATTGAGTCATTGCTATTGCATGTGTTGAGTGTAGACTCGATGAACCAGCCAGGATTCAGTAATCAATCTCTCTCTCTCTCTCCACCTACCTGGATCACTTTTTAGAATTTTAACCGTCTCCCACCATACTATTGTGTGGTTGTGTGTTAACGCGTGAAGTGCAATTGCTAAGTTTTGGTGTTAATTATTTATCTGCTCCGGGTCAACCATTCTCACCTTAGCTAAATTCTTATGTTCCGACAATCTGACTACCCTCGATCTACCAGTAGATACACATAGAAGAGGCAAATTTTGGTAGTTTATCTTTATTTCTCGAACGTAGAATAGGGGTGGTTGTGAAGGGACAACGTACCCCTGCTGCATAGTAAGCTCTTTTAACTGCATTCTTCAGTCACTGTGTTATGATATCGCTGATGTTGTCACCGAGGAGCTGCAGTTTTATGAACATTGGTTTTTTCGGAACTGTTACCATACTGACTCTCATTGCTGCTGAATTCATATTTTCCTCAATGAATTTATCTGGATAACCATTTTTTCTAAGTAATTCTCTAGTAATCTTAAGCTCCTCATTGAAGCAGTCGTTTGAACAGATTAACCTAGCTCTATGAACCAGACACTTTACCAGGTTACGTGTTTATATTTCAAAGGTACAAAACTCAAAAAATGAGTGTAGTGACCTGTTGTTGTAGGTTTCCTATACACACACTCCTTCTTAGTGTGCCATCTTCTTTCCTTACCATGAAGACGTCTAGGAATGAGTGAGATACTGTCATTACTTTCTTTCTCTATGGTAAAGTTTACTGCTGAATGTGCATCATTAAACTTGTCAAGGATATTCATTGCATCATTCTCATCTTTCATAAACACAAATGTATCATCCATATATCGACAGTAGAAATCCATGTCATTAATTACTCCTTTCAGTGGTCCATTCTCAGCTAGGATTGGACCTAATGGGGAACCCACCTATAGCTACACCATCAATTTGTCTGTAATATTCTTTATTGCTGAATAAGAAATGGACATTCATTGTAATAATAATAATAATAATAATAATAATAATAATAATAATAATCACTTTATTCCACAACAATAACAATTTACAGCATGGAATTTTCAGCGTTTCATTTTACATATTGCATTGGTTTAGCTCTTTTTATAATTATATAAATATATAAAATTTTAAAAATATTGATAGTTTATAGGAAAAATAAAAAACCCCAACAAAATACACCATTTCTAGGTCATAGTGAATAATAAATAAATAATATAACAAATCACACATGCAATAATATGCATCATTACATTTTATAGTTTAGTTAATGATTTAAAAGTTGTAAGAGTTCTTTTCTGATATTTGTCTCTTCACACAATACTCGTGCCAAATATGGTACGGTCTAATTTTTATATTTTGTAGTACGAGCATAAATGTTTATGAAATTTCTTCTGGTCTTACCCGAAGAGATGCAAGGAAACAATTGTGAATAAAGAGGATGTTCACTATCAGACAGGATAACTTTAGCTAAGTGTTTACAAGAATTCATATGCCTATTGACAACAGTGTCAGTTAGTTGAGTCAAAGGGATAGCACTGACCCTACTTACAGCCCTCAATGTTCTTCGTAGTATTATATGGTCTTTCTTGAGTAGCCCAGGGAAGAATAATGGAGAACAATAAAGAATGATGGGCAAAATACATGAATTAATAAATTGTATCAGAAGAGATTGGGTTATACCTGAGTGCCTCAACTTCTTTATGTACATCTTAAAAGAAGTCCCTTCAAGGTGGATACAGAAATCCCGATGTCTATGTTTCGTATAGTAATCTCCTCACACATATAAAATCCACTGTCTCCATTAACGGTACATTGGTTTTTGTTAACACATGCATGCATGCACGCATGCATACATCAATGTTAATGTTGTTGTCTTTCATCTCTCGTTTTTGTTCTTGTTTTACTTTTTTTTTCTAATTACCGTCAACATATCTCAGCTGTCATACTACAACACTATTTGTCAACGAGAATTCTACTTCTACTCAAAATATTGTCAATCGATCAAATAACGCAGGTGTTCACAATAATAATAATAATCATAATAATAATAAAGTAAGTGTCTGTCTGTCTGTATGTCTGTCTGTCTGTATGTCTGTCTGTCTGTCTAGATTAATATGTGTGTATGTGTGTGTGTGTTTATTTTCCCCATTGTATTATTATTCATTCGATATTTGTACGCTTAACAATGAAAAATTAAGATTTGAAATGAGCTTAGATTACACGTGTCTGCTCTGTATTGCCTGTGTTGGCTGGCTGGCTGGATTCAGCATAGAACTTGGCACCGAAGTGCAGCAGTTCGAGTTGACACGTTCCAAAGAGCACACAAAGGTAGACAAGAAGATGAGTGAAGAGAATCAATAGAGTTTTGACAAGTATAAGAGTGAAACAGAATGAGTAATGGTAGAAAGCAATACGAAAGATTACACAAGAGACTGAATACATCTGCGTAAGCCATTGACAACAATTTTGAGCCATGTCATCTATTGTCTCCAGCCATTGATTGATTCTTAGAGTCCCGAGGGCGGGCCCCAACCCGGAAGTCTGCATCTCCCTACCTGACTGACTCAGTTTAACTGTCAAGGATTTCATGGATTGATTGATGCCATATTTTTGTTTGACCACCACTTACTCTTTTCTAACCTGCACCTGTATCAGCTAGTAATGCCCGTCGGGAGAGGGAGGCGATGGTTAGGTATGCGCAGCACGTGACCTAGCCATCTCAATCTATGTAACTGTAAAGCCTCTTCGATTGATTTTCCCTCTTTGCCCAACACTCTACGCCTAACCTAACGTGAACATTACTTACCTTATTATACCACCTAACGTGAGAAAGATATCGTAGACATCTGTGATCAAAAACAGACAACCTTTTGGTGTCTTCAACTCGTATTGGCCATGTTTCAGAGCCAGCCATAGAGAAGGACGGAGCGAACTGCTGAGCAGTACACACGTCCCTTGGTTGATAGCCGGATGTCACTCCTAGGCCAGAGACGGTGTAAGTTGGCGAAAGCAGCTCGAGCATTTTGGATCCGTGCTGAGATTTCGTCACCAATCAATCCGTTGGTGCTGATACGACTTTCCAAATAGGTGAAGTGGTCAACATGTTCTATCACTTCACTCCCTATCACTAAGCTAGGAGTGGACGTAGTCCAGTCCTGTAGCAGCATCTTACATTTTACAGGGGCGAATCGTAAGCAAAACATACGAAGATTGTTGCTCAAGGTGTTCAGAAGACTCTGCATTTTGTCAGCATCCTCCCCTAACAGGACTATGTCATCTGCATATTCTAAGTCTATAAGACTATTCCCTGGTAACAAGTCGATTCCTAAGTCGCCAAGTTCAGTTAAGGAAACTTCCATTAGCATATCTATGATGAAGTTAAAGAGAAAAGGGGAAAGTGGACATCCTTGACGAACACCACTGGTTGTTATCAATTCAGATGACAATTCCCCACAAGCCCTTACATGGCTACGTGAGTATTTTGAGGTCGGGTATCCAGTCTTAGGTGGCGGCGGGAGCGGTGAATCGATTGTGGTGAGATGGTTAGGGCATGTGTTACACGCATGCCATGCCTGTCTAGCCATCGTCATCCTTGACAACGGGCGATGTTAACTGACATAGGATAGATGAGGTTGGAAAGGGGGGGGGGGGGTTAGCTAGTGATATAAGTATAAAACGTGGGCACTGTGGTGGCTGAGTATTACTACTCCATTATGGATAAGATATTAATTTGATAAACTGTCACACAGTGTGTGTAGTGTTATACAGTAATATTAACTGATGCGACCACGTTTCAAGCACAAACTATTGCCAATCATAATCATCATATCAAGTCACTCACTCACTCACACAACTTTTTCCTTCATTTATATACATGAGTGGAATTGATTATTAGACATTTGAATACAAATCATTAATATAGGATAATGTACATTCAGAAATAATAATAATATGAGTGTTATTGATCAATTACAATCAGATGGGAAATAAGACGAGTGTTTCTTTTATAGCCATAATAAGCAACTTGTTAGAATGTTGCGATGTACGTGAATTGAAATAGAATTTTGAGATTATTTATTATCCTCTTCTGATTTGACTGATGAACAAGGAGAATTAGCTGTGATGTTCGATTGTAGAATGAAAAGAATAGCAGAAGGTAAAGTGCACATTAGCGTTTATGAAAAAGCAACGCATTCTAATAGATATTTAGACTTTAATTCATCTTATCCGTTTACTGTTAAGGCAGGCTTAGTTAAGTTAAGTGTCTAACAAACCGAGCAGTAGCACTAAGTAGCACAAGAAAAGACCTAAATGATGAAATAAAACAGATAGAAGGAGAAGCGTTGGTGTTAAATAACTAACTATCCTATAAAATTCATTAGGAAGGTCAGTAAAGAGCAAAATCAAAATCGAAAAATAATTGTGAATCTAGTAATGATATCATGAGTAAGAGAGAATATAAGTCATTCACTGTTATACCACATAAGGAGGGGACATCTGAGACCCTCCCTACATAGGATTCTTAATAACAGAGCAGGAATTAGGGTGGTGGCATTCAAACCTACAAACTCACAGAGGGACAAGGTTTGTAGGGTCAAAGACCCGGTGGACCCAATCAAGCAAAATAACATAATTTACAAAATACCTTGCAATGATTGTGTGGTCAACTATATATGTCAAACTAGTAGATCGGGGTTAATCAGATTGTCGGTAAGAATGGTTGACCCCGAGAAGATGAGCAATTTAGAAAGGCAGCTCAGCACTACATTGCACTGCATGCATTAACACACAACCACACAATAGGGTGGTGGGAGACGGTTAAGATTCTAAGAAGTAATCTATGTAGGTGGAGAGAGAGAGATTGATTACTGAATCCTGGCTGGTTCATCGAGTCTACACCCAACACAACACAATCAATTGGAATGACTCAATGCAAATACCAGAGACATGTATGGAAGATATTATTACCACCAGTCAGTCAGTCAGTCAAATCAGAGGAGGATAATAAACAATCGCAAAATTCTATTTCAATTCATGTACATCACAACATTCTAACAAGTTACTCACTTATTATGATTATAAAAACACTCGTCTTATTTCCCATCTGATTGTAATTGACCAATAAGACTCATATTATTATGATTTCTGAATGTACTTTATCTTATATTACTGATTTTTATTCAAATGTCTAATCATCAATTCCACTCATGTTTATAAATGAAGTAAAAAGTTGTATGAGTATTGACTTGATATGATTATGAGTGGCAATAATAAGTTGTGCTCGAAACGTAATCATCAGTTAATACTAATGTATAACACTACACTGTGTGATTAATTATCAAAATAAAATCTTATGCATAATGGGATTATCGAGTGGTGGTCAAACCAAAAGTTGTTTGAAATCGGTCGACAGAAATGTTAGAATGTCATGTAGGGTGAGGTAAATTGTCTGTTTGGTTGCCTTATAATGTCTAGTGGTTAGAAGTGGTTGATGAGATGGAAGATGAGTTTGAATTGTTATGAATTATAGGTCAAATACGCTGACTCTTTTTGGTCTCTCTATTGTACTCTCTGCGTGTTACTATTCTTTCTGTCACCGTGATTGATAGTCTTTCGAATCACTTACTTCTCTGTCATTTGTCTTCCTTCCTTTGTGTGGGGTACACGAGGTGCGCTACTTCTGTGGAAAGTTCTATGTAGAGACCAGTAAGTCAGCAGTCATTCGGTCGGTCGGTTTTCGACATAGAACCACTTTGCACCGATGTGCGGCAGTTCAAGTCGCCACACTCCATGTAGCACACAAAGCAAGACAAGAAAATAGGAGAAATGCATAATAGAGAGAGACAGTAAACAGAGGTGTGAGACAAAGGAATAGTAATAACGGAGAACAAAACAGTTTCATTAGAAATCATGAGTCACAAGGAGTGGATGCATCTGCGTCACTGAGAACGATTTTGAGCCATATCACCAATTGTTTCCAACCATTGGTTTTTACCGTCCCGAGGACCCCAACCAGTCAGGAAGTCTACACCTTCCTATGTGGCTGACTGGCTTAAACTAACTGTTATGGACTTCATTGACTGGTGAAGCCATGTTTTCGTTTGACCGCCGCTAGCTCTTTTCCAGCCTGGCCCTATATCAGCTAACATTGCCCATTGTCGAGGAAGGCGATAGCTAGGGATGCATACGTAACACATGTCCTAACCATCTCAGTCGATGTAATTTCACAGTCTCGTCGACTGATTTCCCCACCTTACCTAGCACTCACTGGACGCCTAACCTCAATATTGCTCAACTTATCATACCACTTCACATGGGAGATAGAACGCAGACACCTATGATCGAAGACAGCTAATCTTTTCATGTCACCCACTCTCAATGGCCATGTCTTGCTCACAGCCATAAAGGAGGACGGAGCGGACTATTGAGCAGTACACACGCCCTTTGGTCGATAGTCGGATATCGCGTCTACGCCAGAGACGGTGGAGATCAACCTGTTGATGTTGGCTGATGGTACTTCCCAAGTAAGTGAAGCGGTCAACGTGCTCTACCACTTCACTTCCTATTTCTAATCTAGGGGTCGGTGAATTCCAATCCTGCAGCATCATCTTACATTTTACAGGGGCGAATCGCATGCCAAACATGCGAAGATTGTCGCTCAAGGTGTTCAGAAGACCGTGTCTGCATTTTGTGAGCGTCCTCGCCTAGAAGGACTATCTAGTCCGCAAATTCTAAGTCAACGAGATTATTCCATCCCTGGTAGCAAGTCAATCCCTGAGTCGCTGAAGTGTGTTAGGGTTAAGTCCATTAGTACGTCTATGATGAAGTTGAATAGGAGTGGGGATAATGGGCATCCTTGACGGGCGCCACTAGTCGTCACCACTTCAGATGATAACTCGCCATAAGCAGTCATTCTGTATTCGTGTGTACTGTGTAGCAAATTTTAAGTAAAACGTTTAACATGTATCTGCAATAAAATGATAAATAAATTACAGGCCTAATAACTTGTTTGTAATAGCTGCCCTAATTAATTTCATCATTATCTCTAATATCATATTTGGTTATTTATTTTTGTTTCACACAAAGTCTGCCAAACAGCCATGCATATCTGATGACGATTTTTCTTAAAAAAAAAACGTTATTAGCGCTTATATTTCTATCTTTATGTCATTGTTGTTCCCTTGCGTTTCGCGTGGAACATAGGCCTTCATCAACACATCTCCACTTTCTTCTATTCCCTGCTGTCCTCTTCAGCTGCCTGGCCCCACAATTTCCCATAATCTCTCATCTCCTTCTCCTCCACCAACTCCAATTCCCCCACACGATCTCCTCCATGTCACCGACTTATCAAATCCTATTGGGACTCCACTTGAGGAGCAATAGCCTGCATTGCGCGAGATGTCGTTCGACGGCCTCCTTCCTCAGCGTCATGCCCAGTCATTCCATCTCCATTTTGATTCTGCTTCTACTTGTTGAGCGATCGGCAGCTCTCTGTCGTTGGTTTGTTCATCGCCAGAGTTTCTTGTTGCTAATTCTTCCTAGCCGGCCGGCTGGCTGGCCATTGGATCTTCAGTATGGTGGAGCCAGCTAGCAAAGGTGGCATCAGTTGGTAAAAGTCTGCAATGACCTGTTGGGAATGCTTTTCGTGACGCAGGCGCAGTTCAAATTTCTGACCCATATAGAAGCACTAACTGACTGACTGACTGACTTCACTGATATTTGTGTTCAGCTCGCCTTGTAACCACCCACCCTCGTGGTGGGTGCGTAATGATGGAGAGTCCCCCAAGTACTAGGGAGAGACAGCCGGTCCAATACTCCCGGCTGGTTTCCCTAGTGGTCCTCTAACCGTTGTCAGCGCATGCTGAAATACTGAAACCAATTTGATAATTAATCTTTGTTAGGCTCGCTATATATATATATATATATATATATATATATATATATATATGAGGAAACAGGCATAAAATGGACTCACACAAAAAAGAACTTGGAGGATCTGGACTTCGCCGATGTGGTATATACGTCTAATTTCCCACAAACTGGAAGATATGCAAGCGAAAAGCAACAAGTTGGCAGAAGAAGCATCCAGAGAAGATAGGACTTCCTTCAGGTGAACATAGAGAAAACAGAGGTAGGTGATGAAGATTCCTGGACAAGAACAACAACAATAGACAACGATCAGCATAAATGGGAGGAACCTGGAAGAAACAACCTCTTTTACCTACCCACCTCAGAAGCATCGTTTCAACTACAGGCAGACACTACTGACGAGGATATCAAAGCAAGAATGGAAAAAGCAAGACAAGCTTTCACTACTCTCAAATCTGTGTGGAGGTCAACAGCACTACTCAGCATGAAAATGAAAATAAGATCCAGATCTTCAACTCCAATGTGAAGTCAGTCAGTGCTAATTGCTATACAGATCAGAGACTTGCACTGCGCGTCATAAAAGGCATCTCAAACAAACTACAGACCTTCATGAAGAGTTGTCTTCGCTCAATACCACTGAAGATCAGATGGCCGGCCGGCCAGAAAAGATCAGCAACAGGGTGGGATCTCTGGCAATGAGCAAACCAACACAGCAGGAACCGATTGTGCGAGAAATAGGCAGGAAGAAATGGAGATGGATTGGCTGGCCATACTCTGAGGAAACCATCAAGTGAGTGACATCACTAGACAAGCCATTGCTCGAGTGGAACCCGAAAGGGAAGCGACGAGTTGGTCATCAGTGCGAGGGTGGGGTGACTTGGAGGAGGTTATGTGAAGAGGAGATGAAAACGTGTGTGATGGCAGACTTGGAGCCAGGTGAAGACTCTAGCAGAGAACCGAACTCAATGGAGACACACGGCTGAAGCCCTATGTTCCTCTAGGAATTAAAGGAAACAATAATATATATATATATATGTATAGTGAATTGGCAGAGGCTAGAATTCACGCGATTGCCATTGGATCGGGTTCCACAGAGCGGCTCAATGGGCTACGAACTTGCTCGCTCGCTCGTTTTCCTTGTAACCGGAAGGTTCGATGCGTTCGATGCCCAGTATGCATGTGTGCCTGTGGGTCGTTTCTGAAGAGTCCCAAGCAGTAGGACAAAGCAGAAACGCTTCTGTCGTCCGAGTTCTCTGCAATGGCAATCAAACCTGTCACCAATCGAATCCCTGTTAACCAACATTCGATTGTGTGTATCACAACAACAAATTGTCTTTACTTTTTTTTTTAGTTAGACACCTTTAGATAACCAACAACAATTGCTAAGCAAACAGTTTAATAATCACTGTCTCTCTCTCTATCTAAACTACTTCATTTTCTTTCATTTTTTTCTCACCCTTAATTTGTATAAACTAAAGTCTAGTATAGTATAGTGTAGTGTAGTGTTAAGGAATTGACTTTTTACACCTTCCAGCTTAATTATTTAAAGGTAGATCGATGCTGAAAACAGTATGCTTGATAGAACATTTTAATTACTATGAATGTCAACTTGTCGAAAATTCAATGTGTGTATATATACATATATATCCTTATTTTTGTAAAATATGCCCTATGTCTGTGTGTGGAAAATATTCTCCAACTTTTTCTTTATTGACTGACTACTGTCTTCGATTACTCTACATTTTATCATTATTATTATTATTGTTCCTTTGGGTTCCTAGTGGAACAAAGGGCTTCAACTGCACGTCTCCACTTGCTTCTGTCTTCTGCTGTACTTTTCACCTGCATCCATGTGTTAGTCCATACTGTTTCAGCTCCTCTTCACACCATCTCCTCCATGTCACCCTTGGACGTCCCAATACTCGCCGCTTCCCTTTCGAGTTCCACTCGAGCGATGGCCTGACGCGCGATGTCACCCAGCGGTGGCCTCTTCAGCGAGTGTTCAATCCATCCATCTCCACTTTCTCCTGCATATTTGTTGGGCGATTGGTTCTTGTTTCGTTTGTTTGTTCCCATAGTTTCTTGTTGGTTCTTGTTCTTGTTCTTTCCGGCCATCTGATCTTGAGTATAGAGCGAAGACAGTTAGTTGTTGATAAAGATCTGCAACAGGCTGTTGGAAATATTCTTTGTGACCCATCGCCAAGTTTCTGATCCATCCGTATAGAAGAAGTGACTGACTTGACGTCGTTTGTATTGAAAATTGGAATTTTGTTGTTGAGTGTTGGTGAGTGTCGAAGATTTCCAGATTGGTTTCAGGTTGATGAATGTGTTTCTCGCTTTCCCGATTCTCGATTTGACATCTTCGTCCGTTCCTCATGTAGTTGAGACAATGCTCCGTAGCTAGATAAGTGAATGAAGTAACCTCTTTCAAATCCCTTCTGTTGATGGTGATTGGCGTTGGTGGATGTTGCTGCTGTTGTTTTTGTTGGTTGGTTGGTTATTTTCATAACCTCCGTGTTGTCTATGTTCACATGGAGTTCTGTCTTTGCTGCTTCTTCGACCAGTTTGTCGGTTTTCGCTTGTAAGCAAGTCTTCGATTTTGTGTGACTTTAAACATAAATCATCCACGGGCGAGATCTATGTCTTCTAGGTTCTTCACGTCGGTCCAGGATATCCCTGTCTTCTCGTTTCCCACTGTCTGATGAAGCATAATCCAGTCGTGCACCACAATTAGGAATATCATCGTTGGTGATAATAAGCACCCTTATTCTACAAAAGTCTGTATATGTTACATTACTTCTTGTTTTAGTGTCGTCGTGCAAAATAAAAGATACTTAGCTGTCATTCGATGAGGTGATGTTTAGTACTCAACTCTTCTTACGTAACCATTTCTTAGGTTAGTAAGGTTTAAATGTTGTAACGACTGACTGAGTGACTGACTGGTTTCAATGTAGGACTTTTCACAGATGTCCACCAGTTCGAGTTGCCACACTCCCTCCATTTACCATGCAAAGTAAGAGAATAGAGTAAAGAGAGATTCAAACCAGAAAGAGAGAGAGATAATGAAGAGAAGTGTGAGCAAGGTATAAAGAAGAGTAATATGGCAGAACAATAGAGTTTAATTGGATATGATATATCACCACGAAGAGTGAATGAATAGACGAAAGCCATCACCGACAACGATTTTTAGTCAGCCATATTATCGAATGTCTCCAGCCTTCATTGGTTTTCACCACCATCCCGAGGACCCCAACCAACCAACCAACCGGCCAATCAGTCTGGCAGTTGACACTGATGTAGCGGTGTTTTCGTTAGACCACCACCACCACCACTAGCGGACTCCTTTCTAACCTCATCCATCCTATGTCAGTCAATGCCTAATATGGCCCCCCGCCCGTCATCGAGGAAGGCGATGGCTACGCATACATGCATAACACATGTCCTAACCATCCACCTCAATCAGTGTCACTTCACAACCACCTTGTCAATAAATTGATTTTGCCTCTTCCTCCTCCTCCCCTTCTTTACCTACCACTCGACCGACCGATGCTCACCTTATTCTACTACCTAGCACAGGTTATAGAACGCAGTCACCTGTGATCCAATACAGCTATCCTTTTCGTATCTTACTGTTTCAATGGCCATATTTCACAGCTGGTCAGCCAGTCACGAAGGAGAACAGAGCGAACTGCTACTGAACAGCACACAAGCCCTTTGGCCGACATCCAGCCAGCCAGCCAGTCAGATATGACTTACAGAAAAATGCTCAACCAAAAGTGCTTCTGTATCCGTATCCGGCTGACATTCCGTCAGGCAACAGATCAACCCGCTTGGTTTGGCTGAGTTGATGCAACTCCCCAAATAGTGAAGTGTCAGCACGGCCAGAGAGCCAACCAGTCAACCACCACTTCACTCCTGTCTACCTATCTGTCTACCTGTCTGTAACCTAGAAGTAGTCCAGTCCTGCGGCATCCATCAGCTTACAACATTTGACAGCACCACAAGCGAATCGCTCCCCATGCCGAATATATTCGAAGATTGCTTCTCACCTCAAAGTGTTCAGGAGACCCTGTCTGCACTTTTTCAGCG